CCAGTTCGCAACCACGTTAGCGAGAAACTGGCGGCGAAGAAGAAATGACAAAGCGAAGTGTGAGTAGTGTGTCGAGGACGAATCTGCTCTCGATAGCGAAACGTGCTCGGATTTGTCGAGCGCCGCGTCAACAGAAGGGGAGGAGGGTAAGGAAGAAGATGCGGAGAGGAAAGGATGATAGAGGGAAGGAAGAGGGTGCAGGGCGTGAGCGCTGACGCCAATTGTGTACGCGCGCACGTACGAACGAAAACGAGCGGTGGTCGGTATTCGGAGAGACAGCCAGCGGACCGACGACGACGCTAAGGAAGAAGAAGAGCGGGAGAGGACGGGATAGAGGGGAAACGTGCTGCGGTTTTTATTCCCGCCGTCGTCCTCACTTCCCTCAATTCTATCGCCGCTGTTTACGAAAGATGAAGGAGGAGAGGAAAAAAAAAAGAAAAGAAGGGCATAGCGAAAAGGAAGGAGCCACAGGAAAGAAGAGGAGGCGCTTGTGCGACAACGAAGCGGGAAGAGCGCTTTCTTTTCGCTTCAGCTCGTCGATTTTCTTGGGAGTTCACCGACGATTTCTTTTTGTTTTAACCGCCTTCCTTCCGGTGTCCTTTGCGCCAAAGCCCAATCTCTCCCGCCTTGTTGACACTCCCGAGAAAGAAAAGGACCCCCTCCCTACCGTTTTCGCGTCCCCCCCCCCTCCCTTAAGCACTCCCCTCAACAGACCGCACCTCATCGGTTCGCATCGATCATGTTTCGTGCTTCCCTCAATTTTTTTTTTATTTTGACGCTTATTTCGCGATTTTATTCGTAACGAGTTAAAAGAGCAATCAAGTTAATAAGTATGCGTCTTCTCGCTATTTCAACATCAGGTCGTTATTGTCTTTACAAGAATATAATGAGGGAGGCCTTGTTTTGGGATTTGCTTTTTTTCTTTCCAGACGCCGACTGATGGAGCCAGTTTACGCTGCGCTGAGTTACCTGTCGATGATACGATCATGGCTTAACGAGCTGTGCTCGGCTGCTGCAGAGATGGGTGAGCAAACAAAAAGTGAACGTTTCCATTCCTTCGCAGCGCCGAGACAAGTTAGGCACGACGCTGCCTAAGCACGCCCGAATAGGCTAAGTTTTTTCTCTCTCTCTTTTTCTTGCTAGTGGATGCTGTTGCGAAGCCTGAGTAATCCATGGCCGTTCGAAAAAGAGCAGAAACACCCCAGAGTTTCTGAGTTAAAAACCACCAACAACAAAGAAATGGAAACTTGTTAACTTCACAGAAACAACGGTTTTCGGCGTCGAACCTCGGTGCAGCCACGACAGTATCGAAGAATTGAGAGCAGTACATGACTCCATGGTCAGGGGGGTTCGAAGCGTTATTGAGTCGGGTATCGTCTTGCGGTAAAGACACCAAACCTCCCACCTAGCACTGTGTTCTCTCCATCCTCCCTTCCTCTTTTGCTTCACATAAAGCCACAAGATGTTTTGACCGAGCGATGATCGCTAGTCCATAAATCACGTTCCCACTGCTACAGAAATAAGGCGACCCTGTCGACAGATTCGCCCCGGTCCGTGTTATTTTTGCCACTTATCACGTCTTTACGTCTATTTTCCCGTCTGTTTTCTACTCGATCAGAGACAAGAGTGCAGGAACCACACCGCGATTCAACCTGCCCCCCTCCCTCTCCTTTTTCGTTTTCGAGGGTGTGTGCACATGCACCTTTATCGAGAAAGAGAGAGAGAGAGAGACCACAGTAACGCACGGCGTAGCTAGTTCACGGAGAAGGCACGGGCGCGGTTGGACAGTGGAAGCGCGACAAGCGCCCCCTGGCGATCAGGCCCTACAACCGTTTACTTCAGCCAGTCTGGCGTTTTCTCGCTACCTTTCGCGAGTGGATAGCCCCAGACACATCGACCTCGGCCACTACAGCCTCACGACCTACGCCTAAACGCGTCTACATTCCCGGCGTTCTCTCTCGGCAGGGGCCTCTCATAGTGCGCAGGTGTTACGTCGCCGATAAATGCGCGCGAAAATGGGGTGGAAGTGGCGCCGTAGGGAAGGGACGTAAACGAGCCGCGGGCAGACGTCGACCAAATTGCGTTTGGTTTGTGCCCGGCCCCGGAAAACGACGTTAGCGCGGAAAAAGGAAGCACGCCACGCAGAATGTGCGTTCGAGAAACCTCTCGTCCGAAGAACCCGGCGGTCGGACACAGAAAGCGCTAATGCGGTGGGTGGGTGTATACGGTGACCGCGCGCCGACACACCATCACGGCGGCAGTGATGTGATGGCCCCTGGTGGCAGCGGAAGCACCAGTCTCATCCCTCCCTTTTATTTGTGTGTTTTTTTTTCGGCCTGCTCCCAATGTCATCGACCTCCGGCGGGGGAAAGACACTGAGTGCAGTGAACACGGCTGCGTCAGGAAAGGGGTTCAGTGGCAAACAACGCCGTAAATAAATAAATAAATAAATAAATAAATAACTAACTAAATAAATAAATAAATAAATAAATATTTGTCCAAGTCTAGTCGCGGTCTCCAAAGGCCGTGATACGTTTCCAGATTTTATCAGAGAAATAGACCACGGGCTAGCAAAGGAAAGGGCGAGCACCTGTAGTTTGCAAAAGCAATAATCGGAATAATTTTGAATTTTCAATCACACACTGGCAGTCTACTTCGCCGGAAATATATGAAATATACTAGAGTGAATCCAAACACGCATCCTTTCCATCTCAAAAGGTGGCGCGCAGTGTAGCGTTCAGCCAACCAAGCATGGACGGGTGGACCGCAGACGTGCATGCTGATCGTGGACAGGTGACCAGAAAGGCACGCGCAAAAGTATAACAAGGACACGCACAAAACGACCAACACTATATGCAGCCGTCCCTCCATCGACTCCCCCCTTTCGCTATGAGTGCCGCCCTGGTTCGTCAATTTACCCGAGTGCCGACAAGGCACCAAGCGCAGCCGCCTATTCCTCGGTGTTGATCACGAGTCTTCCGAGTATTACGAGCTCGCGCCAGCGAAGCCAAGAAACACCGACGAAGAAGTCGAGCGGAAGGCTCGATCGCTAAGCGATCGAGTGCTTCGCAGCCCGGCAAGGGCCACACGACGACGGGGCGGGAGCAACGTTACGCAACGAGAGGGCGCGAAGGTTTTCGTAGATCGAACCAATATCGACACCTCGATGGAAGCGAGCCGGCACGCATCTTGCGACGATCGAACGCACGTGCGCTGCTGCCCTTTACGCAACGCCCGCGGCGACAACCTTCGGCGTTATAGTCGCGAGGCGTTGCCGCGCCCTATCGCAGCCCTGCTCGCTCAACCATTTTGCCCCCGTGCGGATCCCGGCTTAGACGATGCGCGGACACTACGACTTTGGGCACGCGTCGCATTGCGGTGTTGCATACGCCAGTCAGGCACGAAAGCAAGGGGAGGTGGGTAGAGGCCCCTCCCCCTCGAAGTTTGTCCAGTCAGCCATACTGCCGGGCAACTTTAATTTCTTTTTGCCGCGGAAAGACATTCTAAGAACTAAGCCGTGCGCCTCGACACCTCCTCCCGCTCGGGAAAAAATCCTGACTGCGTGCCTGCCCCCGGTGAGAACCGAGCTAACAACGCATTGCAGCTGTCCTTCCTTACGTGTCAGCTGGAATAAGCACTGTTCAGCTTACGTGTTTTTACTCTGTCAATAAAAACGACAGACTTAATAGACGGTAAACGTAGGCCTTATTTAGTTCCAATATTATCGTTTATGTTTCGTTAAAAACATCGAGGACGTTCAAGCTGCAGCCTATAGGACCAACGATGCAAAACTTCCATACGGTAAAACTAACCTTCAAGACTGTAGGAAGAGCGCTTGTTGTCACCCACGGAAATGAGCGAACCTGATTGGTAGTATACGACAATGCCACAGCCTTACGTTGTCGCCACACAGGCTATCAGTATTTCTTAGGTCTACTGTCACCCGCTATATAGTTCCGAGTATGGTACTCAAGAAGCGTTAAAAAAAAAAGGCACGGGCAATACAACCACAGTTTCGATATTGAATGACTACAACGCCACTTTTGACACAGCGCTGCTATGTGCGATTAAATAGAGTGGCAAGGAAGGCTTCTTCTGGAAACAAGTCGCATTCGGTCGGACATTAAAAACGTGATTGTGGAAGTCACCATGCTCCGTTGCAGAACATTAGTGTTTTCGACATGCGACTCGCACATTGTGCTCGTTGTCAGCTGGGCACGTCGGTTTAAACGATCCTCTTCCATCGCCACTTGACCTACTTTTGCAACAGTGTCTATCACTCAGCCTTGCTTCAAAACCAGTGCTTAAATATGATCAGGGAAAACGAAGTAACAAGCCGCAGTATATCAGCCGACTGGGAAGACACGGCGAGATAAAGGATTACAAGGAGAGATCGCAGATAGTTATGTCGTTGAGTTCACGAAAGCAGCGATATGCTCGTGCTTCCAGGAAGGCGGCCGCACTGGATCGAGGGCAGTGGTTTACACTCGAGCATTAACTGATATAGTCTTCCTCAGATAATCTTCTTATGGTTAACCTCTTTGACTTTGTTCTCGTTCGGTGGTTAGGCTGTTACCGTGGCTGTTCCAGAACGGCGCGATATAAGCATAATTCGATATACTGTTAACGCGGGTATCCCGGAGGCATCGGCCCACCGTCGCGTAAGCTTAGCAGCGTAACGCACGTTGTATAATCCACTACAGACAAGATAGATCGAGGCTATATGCTGGCGCATCGGCTTTTCCTGCACGCATTGCCTGTCGGAGAGACATTGCTCGCAAGGAGTTAAGAGATTGCGATCGCTAAGGCGAGGAAAAGATATAGGAGTCCGGGTTTATTTAAAGCGGCCACCGCATGAAGTTCGGCGGAGGCGTCCGGTTTTGCACGCGCGAGGTCTGCTGCTCCTCGGTGCACTTGCAGCGGGCGGCTTACGTAACGTCGAATGCAGACACGTACGACGCATGCCAACTGAGAGATAGGGGGGACAGACAGACACGTACCTTCTTGAGGTGTCCGTTGGAGGTTCCGAGGAAGGCGACCGTGTAGTCGTGCGTGGAGACGGCCGCCACCGATGTGAGCAGCACGTTGGAGTAGGTCAGCACGGGCGTCGCGTTCACCGGCTTGCTGCCATCTAGCGGCGTGTTCACGTCCATGCCGCAGAAGTCATCGTTGATTTGCACTTGCTGCAGGAGAGAAAAAAACGCAAAATTAAAGCGGGAGAAACAAACGGAGGTGTGTGTACATGAAGAAAATAGAATAGAAGCAAAGGTACACGCGAATTATAAAGTACGCAGATAACGTGTGCGAAGATGGGATCGAAGTAGGAGGGAGGAAAGATCGCCCGTCATCACTTTCAGCGTGGAAGTCACTCGAGCGACATTATCAGCACATAAGCCCACATATGCTAAGCAATACACGCATTCAGCTCGAATGGCTCTACGCATGAAGTACCACGCTGTTATGCTGATATTAATACGTGACAGGCCGCTAGACGAACGTCAGGCAGAGCGGCGTTATTTTTGGAAAAATGACATTCGAGGGTACTGTCATGCGAGTTCGAACGCAAGTTCAAGCGGTTCGTTCATCCGACCCCCCCCCTTTCCCCCCTTCCCCCGAGTTTGAAAGTACACTATTCAGGTACGAAGATTATTCGCGAGATGTCAAGCCAGTCATTTAAGGACGGGCTCGACACGGCTTAAAGGTTTAAGCCTACGCTCGTTTGTCAGAGCGCGCACTGTAGTTTAGAAATAAAACAGCGTTCGCTTTCGTCATCTTTCGACGATCTTACAATTAGCCCACTGAACACGACGTAAGCAGTTCAAAGGAAAAAAGGACCGTGCGGACATTGTTACGTTTCTAGCGCGCCGTTTTAGTTTTCTGCAATAGCAAATCCTGCTGCGAAAAAAGAGAAGAGAAGCTCCAGCTCCTAAACTTCCCGAATGAATATAAGGAGCAGCACACAGCCCAAGTGGCAGCCGCTACAAACGTACCACTGTGTTCGCGTGCCTACGCCACCTCTGGCCCCGAGCGGCGAAGGAGCGAGACAGCCGAGCGAGTCATCAAAGAGCGCTAATGTCCTTATGTCGGGAAGGGGAGGCCGGGGCGGTTCCACATCGCAGGTGCCGTTAACGGCCTCCCCGTGTGACCCCGCGTTTGGGGAAGCGAGTCGGCCGATCGAGGCGGCCCGACCGAGAAAAGTGCCTCCGAGACGACAGCGTCGCTGTGCCACCGTTTAGCGCCTGTAGGCTTTCCACAGCCTCCCACCATCCGCAACGCCGCACCACTTTGACGTCCGCGCCACATCCTCTTTCGTCGCAGACGCAAGGTATACGGTAGCTTCCGCGTATGCAGTTCGTATACAATTCTTCGTATGCGACCGGGGCAGGCCCGCGACTAATTTTTCAGTAATCATTTTCGGCCCCCCGCAATGGCTATACGTACCATGACTGAAGTAAAGCAGCCCTCTGTGATTCAGAGTATGTCATGAGGGAAGACAAGCTTTCCCCAGACAACTTCAGCGACGGCCACGGTGAACCATGCTCAAATTAACGTTCCAGGCGATTTAATGCCAAGGCACCTAAAACTACGCGTTGGAGAGCCATTGTATGCTTCAAACCTTTATCTCTGTCACGCTCACTATATACTCCGCACGCGTCTTGCCGCCCGCTGCAGACTTTTTAAATCACAGACTCGTCCGCTTTTAGAGCGCCATTATCACTCGAGCCCGCAACCTGTTCTTTAACACGCGGGCCGACTCTTCGCTTCACGAGAGTGCAAGGTGTAATATACGCTTTCCACGGAATTCGAAGTCGCTAAGCGCAGCGCTTAAGCCACGACCTGCTGTGGTGTCGTAGCTGGAAGAGCCTCTCTCTCACTCACTATCATGAAGGAGGGGGAAAAACGAAGAACCCAAGGAAACCTCACGTGACTCCGCTATAGTCTCGTCAAGGCAACTTCCTTTGACGCTGACCTTTCGGACCAGCTCGCGGTGCCTCTAGGGTACACAATTAGGCCTTCGCAGTGATCGCAGCCGTCGCATCTATAAAGCGAGCCGACAAATACCAGTGATAGCCTATCACATGACCATGACCTATTTGTGAAACACTTCACGACTATAGGTCTCAAGATTGTCTTAGAATGAAGTATTGAGCGAGTTCGTACGGATTCGCACTCAAAACTGCGCAGCACTGACAAGAAAGAGTAGGACAAAAGAAGCGCATGCCCACTTTCGTCCTTTACTGCGACGGACAAAAAGTCCGTCGCAGTAGACCGAGACCAGCACATGCGCGCTTCTTTCGCAGTTCGTCCACAAGCTGTGTCTATTATAAGCGTGCATCCACGATCGGCACGTGACGCTGGCAGCACTTCTTTTTCTACATGCCCTCTCTACCTATAATAGATGACGCCGAGGATGATGAGAGCCGCGGTGCTGCCGCAATGCGTCACGTGGATTGTCCACGTGACGTCTGGGCATCATTTCACGTCGCTTCAGTATACAGCTTCGCAAGAGGCGCCTTTGTGGCATGCCCGCGGCGCACAACAGCCCCGGTCGCGCACAAACCGCGCATCTGCAGCCGTTCCGCACGCGGGCACAGACAAGGGAGGGCAGCTCTCGATTGCGCGATGCATGATACGGTGTTTGAAAAAGTCACACTGCACAGCGGGAATGGCGTCGCTTCGTGCACGACTAACGACGACTGCACGAGCACCGGAGCTCGCTCGCCCAAGGATGCGCATACCCGTTAAGAGTTGCCGTAAAGGTATTCACGCTCTGTTTTGTTGCGATTATCTTCAGCACGTATAGAACAGATCAAAGACAAAGGCTACTGCGTGCTGCTCTGAATTAACGCTTTCCGCGAAGAATGGTTACAATAATCCCGTACGATGAATACGGTATACGTGGGGTATGCCGTTGCTATACATGATGTGGCATGCCCGAAAGTCAATTTCAAAATGGCGGACGTAGCGCCAAATATGTGTGACATGTGCGACAGTTAAGGGAAACTACGTATACGGGACGCATCGTGTATTTTCAGTAGTATGGAGAAAATTTCGGTAATTGCTCGGACCAACCGACCAGACTCAAAAGAAACATATATGACAACGCGGTTAACGACAGCGCCAACTGCTGCTTTTGACGTGCACACCGCTTCAACGACTAAATTCTACTGGGAGCGCAGCAGCTCTATAGTTGGTATGGGTGACGTAATATATCAAAAATTACCAAAAATTAATCCGCAGCCATCGACGGCTGCATTCTCCATGGCTAACAGTCCAAACACCAGTACATTAAACCGTGCGCAATTATTAATACATAATATAATATTTACAGGGTCACCTGAAAGCACACAGTATAACTGTAGACGAAGAAGCGCGTAAAGCTGAATGCCAGAGCCCCGCCGCGGTGGTCTAGTGGTTAAGGCACTCGGCTGCTGACCCGCAGGTCGTGGGATCGAATCCCGGATGCGGCAGCTGCATTTCCGATGGAGGCGGAAATGCTGTAGGCCCGTGTGCTCAGATTTGGGTGCACGTTGAGGAACCCCAGGTGGTCGAAATTTCCGGAGCCCTCCAGTACGGCGTCTACTCATAATCATATGGTAGTTTTGGGACGTTAAACCCCACATATCAAAAGCTCAATGCCTGAAGGCACTTGCCCGCGTAAACCAACCATTACTTTGCTAATCCGCGACAAGGCCCTACAAGGAAAAACGCTGCTGAAGTGATTGCCCTGGTTATGCGATGAGGGACTCGCAGTATCAAGGCCAAAAGCCGACCTTTGATACATGCGCTACACTTGAAACGTCGTTGCAGGAGTGCTGCGCGCGGTGTGGATGACTGAACATAGCGTTCGTGACGTCAGGTGCGGGCCACAAATACAACGCACGCTCTCCTGCAACGATAGCATTTTTAAAATCTCTATCACAGATACGGTTCGCCTAGCGACCCCCCCCCCCCCCCCCCCCCTTTATTGGTCTGTCCCAAAGAACCAACTTTCACTATGCAGCTGCGGCCAGTCAAGTTGCGGGGAGCTCTACAGGCGTCCGGAAATTCCAGCATTACAGAAGATACGTTCACGAGGCTATACGTGCGGCCACGAGATTACACACCGCTGAAGGGTGTCTCGGATCACTAATGGGTTCGGGTGGACAAGGTGCTTACAAGCTGCTACTAGGTTGTGTATTGCTTCCAGCCAACTTCGTGCAGCGCGGCGACGACTGCCCATCCCCTCAGCCAAGTGGAAATGGTGTAAGACCCCCCCCCCCCCCCCCCCCATCTCTACATATATAGCTTGTACGTGCGACGCTGACTATACTAACACTCCAGGTGCGGCTGTATAGATCTTAAGCTAAGCGACTGCAAGCTGTGGAGTGAGCTGTGTTTCCCAGAGCCGGGTCGTTTAGGCGAGACAAAGAACATCATGTCGCTAAGGGGCGCGCATTACGATGCACTGAATGGGCTCTCCGTGACGTATAGTAGCAACTGCACGCCCCACGGAGTGGCGATCTACCAAACTAAATCGTTACAGCATACTGGTCAGTTTATAGAGCACCATAGAGCGCCATCAATGCTACTTAGCGAAATCAATTACGCCACACCACTAGCGCTATACCCGGCTTGAAAAAAAAAAAAGATATTAGCAGAACGTAATATGAGCGGACGATGCTTCGTTCCTACCCAGGGGGAATACGCTGTTTCGGTGTTCTCTTTCCAGATTTGTTGATGCTACACACTTGTGCCTTTTGCCGCGCTGCAGAGAGCATGCCATGCGCCCTGCAACTGACCGGGGAAAGCGAGGCGCGTGGCCGTTCTGGCGGATCGATGAAACGAGCCGGCGCACTTCCGGAGAGCCCATTTGCGACCCGCGAGGAGGAGCGAATGTCCGACAGAGCGTGTGCAAACGGCCGCACGCGTTGCTCTACCCCAACGAACCCGATGCATGTGGTCCGCCATTTGCTCCCAGCGGTTCTGGGTTCGGGACGCATGATCCCGCCGAGCGCTCCCCAAAGAACAACAAAAGACATGGCCATCAGGCACGAATCAAAAAGCTTTCAAAGTGTTTCGGCGTTTCTTTTCTTTTTTTTTGTCTTTTTTTATGTGACACTAATGTTTCCGATGACCACAGAACAAACTACACCGAAAATTAACTTTCGACCTCATCCAGAACACGACTGTGCATGTGTAA